TTTTTTTTTTTTTTTTTTTTTTCTTATTTTCTTTTGTTATTTTTTCTGTCTATTAGACTCATTGTGGATATTCAACTTATCCCTGAATAAATAAGCTATTGTTCAGATTTCAAAACAGATGAACCACCTTTTGGGAATTGGAGTGGGTGAGGGAGGTGAAGTGTAAATGTATGCCTAGTCTCATTTCCAGTAAGCTTGGAATTCTGGTAAGGTTTAAGGACATCTAGACCCTGTCTGGTCACCTTTCACAGAACAAGTGCCAAGAGGAACAGGGGAGTTGGAGGCGGGTGTGTGTTAAGTGACGTACTGAAAAGTGAGTTCAAGGTTGTTTTATAGTCTTTAACAATTTTTAAGTTCTACGCGAAACATTGGTTTAAACTTTTCTTTCTTTCACGCGATATTGTTTCCCTAAGATGCAGGGAGGGCAAAAGCAACTATCTTTTCGAGATAAACTCAACGTTATCAATGATATTGATGAGGGAATGAAGCAGATTGATGCGGCTAAGAAACATGGATTATCGCAATCTACAGTTGCAACGTTCCTAAGAAGAGAAAGCAAATCGAAGATGCTGTAACTTCAAATGAAATTAACCCAGAGCGAAACGACTGAAAGTTGCGACAAATGAAAACAATGATGCTGCTGTTTTAAAGTGGTTTCAAGAGATAGAGCAACAAATGTCCCAATAAATGGACCTTTTTAGTGCAAAGCATGGAAATTTTCAGCAATGTAAGGGAATGAACTTTCAAAGCTAGCAAAGGTTGGTTAATGCGTTTTCGAGATCGTCATGGAAATAACTTTCCAAGAAGTTCACGGAGAGAAAAGTCAGCCCCAATAAACGACGCAAATGAATGGCGGCAAAAACAAGATGAAAGAAATCTTAGAAAAGTATGCTCCAGAAGACATTATAATGCAGAGATGAAGCTGGGCTGTTTTTCCAACTCCTACCCGATTGAACATTGGCATTCAAGGGTGAAAGTGTTATGAGGGAAGAAATCAAAGCAGAGAGACTGACTGTTCTTCTGTGTACAAATAGCACAGGAACACATAGAATACAACCTCTGTCATTGGTAAATCATTGAAGCCAAGGTGCTTTAAGAACGTGAAAATTCTTCCCGTGGAGTATAAAGCAATAAGAAGGCTTGGATGACGTCTAAAATTTTTTTTCCGAATGGTTTACAGAAGTTAGACAATGAAATGAAGAAGAGAAAGAAAAAAAATTGTTTTGTTGATAGATAACTGTGGTGCTCACACGTCATTTCCAAAGCTACAAAATATCTAAATCGCTTTTTCCCTGCCAATTGCACTTCAATTTTCAGCCTCTTGATATGGGCATAATTAAGTGTTTCAAAGGAATATTACAGAAAACGGTTGGTGGACTCCATACTTGTAAACTTTGAAAATAAAGTAGAAGACCCTTTCAAGCTGTAAATGTCAAGGAAGCGTGTGACAATATTGCTGGAAGTTGGTGGGAAGTAACAGAAAAAACCATTCGGAATTGCTGGAAAAAGGCCGGTCTTTGTGTTATGGAAGATAAGAAATCTGATAATGATGAAAATTCCTAGACAATGATCTCTCAGATGATCAAGAATGTGTTTTGCCACATCAAAAAACCATATCCCAACTTGAGGAAAACAAGCGGTAAAAAGTTTGGAATTAGTATAGAAGACTATTTAACGGCAGATGATGATCTTATGGTTTTCGCAGGAGTTACTGATGAAGATATTCTCTCTGAAATTACTGATGAGATAGGAAACAATGATGAAGATGATAATACAGATCCATCGCACTCCTTTATTGGTCATCCCAGGAAGCTCTTCAATCTGTGAATTCTCTACGGACATATTTTTCAAGCCTTCCGTCGACAAATGAAGAACATTTTCGTGCACTAGACTCAATGCATACAGTATTGGTGAACTTAACAGTTAAAAAAATCAATAAACAAACAAAAATATTGGATTATTTCAATAAAAAGTGTTTTCAGGTATGTGAATATTCTGTGCTATTTTCTGAATTTATCTTATTTATTTTTTTTAGTATTTAAACCACTATTATTAGTTTTTACAAAATTAATTTCTTCTAAAATAGACTTAAAAGTAGTATGTTATGCACCTTAAACTAATAATAATAAAAAAAAAAACTCTTATTAAATGCTCAAAATATGTGGGCCCTTGATATAACAATATGCCTCTCTACAACAATATATTTATTTGGTCCCTAAAATATTGTTGTAACCAGGTTTCACTGTATTCGAAAGTTGGATATAGTATCTGCGTATTAATGTATTGTTAAATACTGAATAACATGTAAAAAATGAAATGCATAAAATAAAAATTTCAATTAACAAGATTTAAAGACTGAATTGGAAATTTTGTTCAGTCATATTTACAAACAGTTCATAATCATAATTCAGTTTTAAGGATTGGTCTGAGTTGGAAATTTTGTGGAGTCATTATCATGGTGTGTGTGTAGTGTTAAGAGAAAACTTCAGTAGTACAGCGGCTTACAAAAGGTAGGATCATGGTCTTCACCCTGCCATAGTGAGCTATCCAATAAAAGGAAAAGAAAAGAGAGTCCTGGATACATTTTCAAAAATAATGGAAATTGATATAAAATCAATATTTTCACGATACTGCAATATTTTCGGTATTACTGCCTATGTCAAATACTACGAAAAGACGAACCACTTGTGATTGCAGCGCCCTCTATAAATAATGCGACAAAAAGTGAACCATTTCTGAAAAAAGTGATAATACCAATTTCACCTCCTTCATTATACTCCATGTACACCAGAATATACAGTAAATAAAGGTAAACAATGGAATTTATTTGGCAAATTGAGAAAAAATACTCCCAAAATTCACAATTAAATATTCATCAAACACAGGAACTTTTCTTGCCATAAGAATTGCTAATTAGCTACATGGTTGTGTGGGAAATTAATATGCATATGTGCCTCATACACTAAATTCCCATAATACAAAATCATACACTAAATACCTGTTCCCATAAGTTACTGAGTCTGAGTGCCTAGTCATAATTTTGTCACTGAAGGATCATGATCTGCTCAGGATTCTTTTTTGCCTGAATGGTGACTGTGCATTAACTGCTTTTGGGAAGCTCTGGACATTAATGTGCTTAAGAGCTAGTTTAGTGTCTGCAAACTGCCTACGGAAAATGATTCTTGAATTTTAATCACTGGACATAAAACCTGGCACAGGAAGAAAAGCAACACCATCAGTAGAAAATGTGGCTACAACACTGCAGGAAGAGATGAGCAGTGGCATAGGAAGCTGCAATGTATGAAGAATTATTCAATTGTTAGACGTGCCAGTCAGTATGGTTAGCAAAATTTTACAAAACATCTTCTAATATTTTCCATACAAAACTATATATGTTCAGCAACTGTTTTTAGCTGAACTGCTACAACGAAAAGTTTTCACCCCACAATGTTTTGCTAGGATGGAAGTAGACACTGGACGGATATGGAATATTCAGTGGAGAGATGAAGCTCATTTCTACTTCCAATGTACTACTGTTACACAACTGCAGAATAAGGGCAAACGAGAATCCATTCCAACTGCAATCATTGTTTTTTATCCTTCAAAGCTCACCATGTGGTGCAGATTTATGGTAGCATTTATCATTCACTCATTCCCCCCTCCAAGAAAATGGGTCTTCTGTCTTCTATTACCTTTTCATCACTAACCAATAGTATGAATCTCTTTCATACAACCATATCATTCCAGCACTTCAACAGCTTAAATTTATGGATTAGCTCAATTTTTATGCAAGATGTCATTCTTCTGCACATTTGTGACAACAGTGAAATAATTGTTGAATTTCCATTTCAGAAATGACAGGATTATCAGCCATCATTTTCAAACAGCTTGGTCATTAAGTTCTCCTAACCTTGACTCTTGTCAATTCTGGCTTTAGAGGCACCTAAAAATGTTGCATACAGTGTTCAAATTGCTGTCTTTGCTGATTTGAAGGCACAGATTATATGTCACACCCACAGCATCGCTACATATACATTCCAATCTGTTGTAAAACATGCTATTTTATACTTTCAGTTCATAACAGAATAAGGTGGAGCATATTCATTACAGCATATTTCTTGTTTAAATTGTAGGTATTTCTAGATTATTCAGTTGTAATATTTCTAGTCATATTTCTTACTTGGTTCATGACTTCCTCAGTGTATGTTTCCATGAAATCTTAAATCATATGTTGTTAATTGCCATTGTCCCCTAGTTGACCCTTTTTTCCCTCCCCCCTCCCAGCTAACAGAATTTCCATTTTTGAAGAGTACACTGTCATCTGTTTGTGCATATTGAAAGATTTATTACTTTGTTAAACAAAATTCCATTGCTCAGTATATTCAAGTCACTCTGTACAATGGCTCCTACTTTAGAGCATTTTTAAATAAGAGCCTTAATTGTAATCACCTTGTAGATTATTTTGGTATAAAAATATTAATATATGGCAATTTATTAAATTCATCTGTTCCATCTTCTACTGATTCCTGAAATAATGATTTTTCCTTAAAAAATTCTGTGTGCATATAATGATTTTTGCTGGATTTATTAAAATGAAAGAGGATTGATAAATTATTCGGAAACAAATAAACCTCCTTGACAAGCTCATGGCTTGTTGAGCTTGTCAAGGAGGTTTATTTGTTCAGTTGAAACACTTAAAAATGTTTCAACTGTGATTCTCTACTTGCAGACTTCTCTACTTGAATCAAACACAAACGATGACAAATGTTGCTAGACATTTTATACCAAATTACAGTTAAGAAATTAAACATAAATTCCAAAACATTAACTAAAATTAAAATGTCTTTGATTAAGTGTTATATACAACAGCTTTGGAATCAAACTGGAAAAAAAAAAGCAAAGGATATGATTTCTTATCTTAAAGAAAATTTATATGATTTAAGTGAGGAAATATATCTACTTATCAACCAGAAAAAAAGAAAGTGAAAATTTTCTCTCACCCAGGGAACCAACTTTGTTCAGTCGATGGTCGACCACTGACCAGAAGACCTTTAGCTTTATATACAGTAACAGCTTCATGTACATAGCCATTGGGATTAACATATGTTCCTTGAGGCCCTTGTAATGACATGCTGAAAATATCTTCACGAAGTGCAATGACATTGAGACAGTCTCGACAGCACAGAACTGAACACTGAAAGGATTTTCTATATAATTTTTCATTTACTGTGAACAAAGAATTATAAATGAAGAAAAAACAACGTAACATACTTTTGATTAATTAAGAATTCTTAAATGACTTTTGATATAACATATCATAACAGAAATCTAGTATCTTAATTACTTGAATTAAATACAAATATACTGGTCAGTAAGTTATAACAATGTTAAGTATAAAAATATTAAACTAATACTCCCTGTACCCCTTAATAATAGTAGCAGTTGGTGAATTTAAGTTCTCCCATAATAATAGTAGCATATGAAAATAAATATAGAATGAATGCAACATTTATTATAAAAAAAACTAGATTAAAGTAAGTAATAAATTAAAAATATTACTCTTAATTTTTATTTTGAGTGTTCAGATAATTTTTGGATTTTTCAATAATTCTGTTACTACATTTTAAACTTGTAAATAACACCTTGGCTGTAAAGCTTTGCTTTCCCTATATGCATGAGCTTAAAATTACTGGAGCCATCATTTTTCATTGTTTCCCAGCATAACTTGTTGAAGTGATAGAAATGTATAAAGTCTCATTCAAGTCCTTTAGTTAAGTTATATTAAGTTAAAATCACTTTCCTATCTTCCTCATTTCTATTTTCATGCCAGAATGTAAATTTCTAGCTCACATGATACTTGAATGAGATAAAAGAAAAGAGTATTTAAAGGAAGGTTTCTAGAGGGTAGAATGAGAGCATGTTCTGTCTGCTGAGGCTTATGTTGCTAATTTGATTTTCTCATGAGACGTTTTTTGCAGCATAGCACAATTCTCGCAATTTAGCTTATTATGCGAACCTTAGGTTGTCACAACCAGCTTGTGCATTATTCTAAGTGAGCAGCAGTTAGGCTAACTTAATTTTTCTTAGTTTTAGTTCATTATATTCTTTGATTTAAGCCAAAATTGTTGGCTTCTGTAAGCATGAGTGGTGCCATCTGTTAACTTTTATTTGAGTCGAATAAAAGGGTTCTTTACACCCTTTCCCTGTAGCCCTTACAATACACAGCGATAATTCGCTTTTGGTCTAAGATTTCTCATACATTTGATGTTATGTAAGAATACAAGACTCTATAGTGACGGCTGAACTTTGAATAAACCATGTTACAAGAAACTGCAGATTTAGTTTGGCCCCCTCAACGTCGTGAGTTCTGCCGACTACAGTTTATCCCATGGAGGGATTTGGATTTATTGTTGATACTATAAAGGCTGCCATAGAACCTGCAGTCACTTTTGATCAAGAAGGTTAGAATAGAAGGAATGAAGGTTCACCTCAAACCATGAATCTTGACGGCCATGTTACTACTGTCACTATGAATTATTATTAATTATTATTCATTTTTAATGCATGTATTAAATATAAATTAATTATTATTCATTTTTTAAGTTTTGTGAACTGTTATGAATATAATTTGTACATTTGATCAAGATAAACTGTTCTGTTGTTAAAAATTTCAATTGTGTAAAATATTTACACAACTGAACATGTGGAAACACGTATCAAAAATTTATATAGGTAGATTTCTGTAATTCAGCTTAATTCAAGGCACTTTCTTTGAGATTCATAAATATGAAACACTCATAAACTAAATCACTAAATTCACATAAATCTGTTTTATTTTATTAATATTTATTTTCTTGTTGTTATAAGGTTGTTGGTTCTGAAAAGGATCTATTTAAAACTTTCATTTAAAAAAATGCAACTTGTGACTATTTTTCAGATATCTGCTTAAATATAATATTTTTGTTTTAGTGTATTACAACTTAAAGCTGAAGTATTTAAGCATACTAAAATAAAATAACTTTTCTTCCCATCTCTTAAATTTTATATACGAAATTATTCTTTAAATAAATTATGATAATATTGTGAATAAATCAAAAATATCACTTCTTAAAGTAAAAATTGGAAAGTACACCCAAGAGGTTGCTAATAAAACCTAAATAAATCCTTGAAATATGCAGAAACATCATTTTTAAAGGTTTTAATGTTATACACATGCATATAGATTTCGAACTATTTCTCAATAATTTTCTGTACATAATAAATTATGATATCATCTTTATTACTTCAAAACAAAAATTTAACAATAGCGAAGCATTTGATTATAAATTTAACATACTTTTACTGGAAAATACATGCATGGAACAGCTTGGAAACAAGACGTTTCACTGCCATAATGCACTGTATTGACAGAACAAACATGGACGCTGCTTGTTCTGTAGGGTTTCATTAACCAATAGTGGAAGAAACTGCGAATCCTCTCTCCTTCTATTCTAACCTCCTTGCTTTTGATGGGAAAAGCTGACTACCGTATCCACTGCCAGAAACACAAAGCCTTGCCATTGCAAATACTGCACTTAAAATATTTTACTCGAGTGGCAATATTTTTATTTTGCCAGGACACAAAATCCATTTATTGAAAACAACAAACACATCTTCATGGTGTTTAAAATGCATCCTACAAAACTCTAAAAATATTAAAATTAAAACAATCTCTCAGTGAATGAATATGATACTTTCACAAACAAGTAATATAAAACAATACAAATTTCATACTTCTTCTAAAATTTTAAGTTCATGTCTGAGCCTTTGAGTGACCTCATCTATGCCAAGCAATGTCAACCTCTGGTTATCGTCTAAAGGAAGATTAGCTGCAACCCAGTAAGAAAACTCTTTAGGATTGCAAGGCATATGATCAGACCTCAGTGTCCTGTTCCAGCCTTGAAGTTTTGATTTAATTCTCTGCATAAGTATATACTGCACAAATATATATAGATATATTATAATATTTATTAAAAAATAAAAATACAAAATTGATAAATTACATTGTTCATGATTGCTAATATACAATCAAACTGTTAGAATATTCACTCACATGCAATTATAGCTCTTAATAACCTTAGTCCTTAACTTGACTGCATTTACAATAATGCCAACAAACATTTTCAAAACCGCAACAAATTTGAAATAATGAAATTAAATTCATGAGCACTCATATATTGCTCAATAAAATTTAGTCAAGAAATGTATGAATTAATATGAATTTCATGTTGAATAACCGTTTATGAATTTCTATGTTGAATTAACCCTTAGCATGTCAGCTCATTACAACAAACTTCCTCTTAAATGTTGGCTACTTTTGAACTGAACTTTCAAATACTATCACTTCATTTACTGTTAAACTTTGAATAATATCAACTGCTACCTTTTACAAGGTTCCTATTTTAAACTAACTAGTTATTATGATTTAGATCTGTACTCTAACTTCTTCCTTCCATATTCCTCACCAGAATGCAAATTATTTACTTAAGCTGAGGTTTTTGGATCTCGAGAAAGAGAGTGTTTCTGGCATGTGTGCTATGTGCTTATATTCTGTCAGCTCTAGCTAACTGTAACTATCATAGCTTTGTGTTTTCTCACTGTTGATACTTTAAACTTGCACACCAGTAAATCATTGAGCAGCCTATAGCTTAGTATTTAACTGGTAGTCTTCGACTGTTCTCTCACTGTTGATACTTTAAACTTGCATACCAGTAAATTACTGAGCAGCCTATAGCTTAGTATTTAACTGGTAGTCTTTGACTACAGATCAACATTTAATTTGAACTGACTATTCGTATTTTAATTTGCATTGTAACAAGCTGTGGTTATTTGCAGCACCAAATTGTGATCTTATATTCAAGGTTCTGTTTAAATAAAAAAAGACTGTTTTAAAAACCTTCAAAGACTTTAATATTATATCTCAAACAAAGAGACAACTTGTCATTTAACTATTAGAGTTGCAGGACTAAAGTAACAATACTTTTACTACTATAAGAATAAACAAGCTTTTTTTTCTTAAAAATCTTGCTTTTTCAAATAAACAGCTTCTAGATTTACCTGCATTAATTAAGATACAATAACATGCCGAACACGTATTAATTTAGATGTCAAACAACAAAATTCAGCGTTATATTTTCAAAGGACAAGTTTCAATGAATTTACCGAACCATCATCCTCAGCTGCCAAAGCATAAATGAAAGAGATAAGATACAGTGATTAGATAAGATAAGAATGGCTGGACATGAGTTAAACTACTGGTGCCATCTGCTGATGAAACTAGATCTAAAACATAATTTCCTTAAAGGCTTCAGCCTTTAAGGCAAAGATGGATTGGAATTAGAGTCGTCAACTAGAACAGGAAATTTTTTTTAAATGTGAAATGCCTCTAGAAAATCTAATTCACCAATGGAATAAGTTTTTTGAATAATTTTGACAGCAGAATAATTGAAAGTGTGATTTTAAGACCAACAATGCTGGGCAACAGAAGACTTCTGTGCTTCCTTTCCTCTAACATATGCCTCATGTTTCTTAACACGAAATTTTAAGGCTCTCTTAGTTTGACCAATGTAAGACCAATAGAATGACGTGCACCTGTCTGTACTCGCGCGTACCAAAGGTTATGTTAATGCAGAGAAAGAGGTGAAAAGCTATTTCTGGGAGTATGATTCACCATCTGACTTTCCATATAAGGATAACAAGTTGTTTATTTAGTTTCGACTTTGGTACGGGGAAAAAATGTGCGTTCATTTAAAAAAAAAAAAAAAAAAAAAAAACACTAAAAGCAAAAAATAAGCACCTATAAGTGCTTTTATATTTTATTTTCAAATATAAAGAGTTATAAGCACTTGTAAGGACCGCTATGAATTCTGTTTTTGTTGTTTGACTTCTAAACTATTCCTTGCATTAGCTTTAATTAATATGTTACCTAAGTCATTAAACTGTTGATCATCAGTTCATCAGTTGAAGGCAAGTTCAAGGCAATTTTACTAAACTAAAGAACAAAGTCTGAAATCTGGACCAGCTGGACCAAAAAAAAAAAAAAAAAATCCTTTCTTACCATACAGAAGTCTAGAAATGGAGAATATAATACTCAACAAAAGGAAGCAGTTGTGCCATAAATGTGATTTTTTTCCTGTCTAATAGAGAGTTCTTCATCTCATTTTCAAACACTCACTGGCTAGGAACAGGCACTATGGCCAATGACAATACACTGACATTGGCTTGATGTTGGCCTGTATCACATTTTTAGCCATAGAGTGGTTGTGGGAGGCTAGCATTTTTCTAACTGACCTAAACAAGTGAAGCTTCAATGTTTCCATGTCTACATGTCCTCTTACTAGATTTAAACTAATGATCTAAAATCCAGAACTGTCAAAATCCTGATAATTCCAGACCTGAGATTCTGTAATATATTAAATAAAGATGGTACAAAACAATTGGTGCAACTTCTGTTACCTATGTAATGAGATTTTTAACATTTAGATAGTATTTCTTTATAGTTTGATTACATATTGTCTTTATTTCTTAAACTGTTATTTTTAGCATTACATTTATTCAATCAGAAGGCAAAATTTATAAAAATGTTGACAATTTTAAGGAACTATTACATTATTTGAACAACAATAAAGATAGGCACTTGAGAATACTGATATGCAAGTTAAGCAACTATTATCAACATTTCAAAATGTTATTCCTAAGACATATTTCTACATTTCTCTTATCCATTTTTCAAAATATTTATTTGATAATTTATGTTAAATTCTATTCTATTTAATTTTGTGTGACCTTTCATAAGACATATGGCCAATATTTTTCAAATTATAACTAACAATCGTTTAACAAATTGAGCAAACTAAAAAACAATACAGTCAAAAGTCGTTAATCCGGACTCGTCGGGACTTCGGCGATTCCGGATTATCAATTTTTCCGGATTATAGATCATCAGTTTAAATCTGGTAAGATGGCATGCAGAAATTATAAAATTAAAAATATGAAACCGTAATTTATGAAATAAAGAACAATTATGATCTAAAGGGTATCAAAATTTACAAAAAAGAAAAAAGCTTAATATTTATTTGTTATTAAACATTTCTTTCAATGTAAGTTGCTTCGTTTCATGTGATAATACTTTCTCTTTAATTCTATTAAACAGACATAATTTCTTGCTTAGTTACAAAGTTCCGCTGTTCAAGTCCTATAATTGCTGTGTTGAGAATACCGACTAATTTGTCAATCGAAATGTTTTCGTTTTCAATAACCTGTGGGTCACTTTCTTCACTATCGGAAGCGAATTATAATGAGGAGGAACTTGATTTAAATCATATCAAAGACGGAGTACATCGAGATGAAATACTACTGTCGCGTTTGCTTACTAGAACTTTACTTCCACGAACGCCCTCTGGCGAAAGAGACTAAAAGTAATCAGTTGAACGGCTGACGCGTCTAACAGATGTATAACGATAGACCGTCTCCGTATAAATTATGCTTGTAATCATTATAACTTGTAATATTTTGTAGATATCTTTCATACGAATTAAAATTTCTTAAAAAGTTTATAGCTGTGTTTCGCAGTGAATCGAAGTTCATCATAGATATGGATACCTACAAGAAGGAAAAGCAGGCAGTTCAGAGGCAGCCCTATTTAGAAGATAAGTGAATTTTCACTTATCTATTTAATGGATCTAAAAATTTTAATAGTACAAAGTTGATAAAATTTTTTTTAACATGGATGGCGCCCGAACAGGGACTGCCAGTAACTGCTATTTTCCTAACTATTTGAAACTGTCTAAATTGATATCAGTTATATAGAGGATACATAAGCATAAATAATTAGTGATTGCTGATAAGTGTTGAAATTGTTGAATATTAAATAATGACGGAATTCATCGATACATTGAAAAGGAAACGCGGGCCACATAAGGCTGCCGTTACAAAATTAATTGGCCGAATCGAAACTGAATTACCAAAAACAGAAGTGAAATGCAGAGGAACTAGAAATTTTCTTAGAACTCTTAAATGAAAAATCGAACGAGTTAAAACAAATAGATGCCGATATAGAAAAATTAATAGACATAAATTATCTTGACCAGGAATTAAACGGTGTTGACGAATATCGTGAAAGAATAACTACATTTAAATACAAGGCTAAAAAAAATTGAAAGAAATTAATATAAAAACAAAAATTTAATGTGTTACGAAGCACTGAACAGTTAAGTGAAAGTATTATAGAAAACGTTAAATCGAAAGTCATAATGTGAAGCTTCCTAAACTTACGATTCCGAAGTTTATGGCGAGAGCTGCGAATGGCTGACATTTTGGAACACTTTTTCATCAGCCATTCATTCAAAATAAAACGCTTGACGCTATAAGCAAATTTAATTATTTGAAATCCTTTTTGGTAAGTACTGCTTATAACACCATTGACGGTTTCGATTTAACTGAAGAAAATTACGAAACTTCAGTTAAACTCCTGACAAGAAAGATTTGGAAATAAAGATGTACTGATAAACGCCCATATAGATAAATTACTGAAAATAAGACCTCTGTAAAGGATTCTAATGACATTCAAAATTTCCGTAAGTTATTCAATTATATACAGAAACATATTCGTGATGTCTTGAATCATTAAACATATGACCTCAAGAAACATATGGAGCTTTATTAACACCTAGTTTGCTTAAAACATTGCCACCAGATTTGGTTTTGGAGTATAATAACAGTTCGGAAAATCAAATTACGATTTGAATCACCTAGTGGAATTTCTTTCTGAACAGTTAGTTGCGCGGGAACGTACATTCCAGACGGTCCAGCCAAAGGCCGCGCCGCAAAAGCATAACAAACTGAGTGAACCCAGACCTGTTGCGAAACACACAGCTTCGGAGTTAACGAACGCAAGTTTGCGGGGGGGGACAAACACCATGTGTTTTCTGCGACTC